TCATGTCATTAAAAAAAGTTCTTAAAAAACCTAAATAATAATACATTAAAATTATTATGATTTAATAAGATAAATAATTAAAAAACAATTAAAACAGTTAAGTTAATTATTTAATTAATATAATAAAACATTTATTTACAATATTTTTTTATTGTCCAAACATCATTTTTTATTTGCAAACTTAAATAATTTCTATAATATTAGTTTGTGTTATTATGATTATACAAAATAATTATTTTATTATGTCTTCACTTTCAAATTATTTTTATATGAATTCTATCAAATTTCATTTAAAAAAACAAAAAAATCAAATTTTGTAAAAAATTATTTGAAAAATAAATTTTTTTAGCTTTAGGCCATTTGAGTGTTAAATGAAACAAAATAAAACATTGTGTTTATAATTGAGTGTAGTGATCTTTTTTGTTTATGTGTTTGAATATTTACCATACAGTCGTTACTGTTATTATAAACAAAAATATTAAAAAACAAAAATAAAAATAAAATTTGTTATTTTTTATACTTAAAGACCTGCGAAATACTTGCACGAAGCGAAATACCTGCACGAGCCTATGTGGCAATACGTTTTTTCCAAAAAATGGTCAAAAAAGAAAATAAACATTTTTTTTAAAAGAAAAATTTTTGGAAAAGTAATGAAAAAAATTGAATTTTCAATGGTCAAAAAGAATGAATTAGAAAACGATTTTCGGTTTTACAGATTGATTTTTGATTTTAAGATCATTAATATTGACAATAATAAAACAAAAACAACTATAATTGAACTTCTTACAATCAAAAATTTAATAACAGTTTAATATTATTATAGTAAATAAGAATACAAAATCATTTTTTAGTAAAATGTTTGATAATAAAGAAACTGATCTATTATCATAATTAAAATTAATTATTTATTATGGTTTTTATTTGTGTTTCTTTTCACAGTAATTGTTTTGGAAAATTATATTAAAACTAATATTATACTAACATTATAAAAGAAAACAATAGTTAATTATTAACAAAAAAAAATAGATAAGTAATAATATATTATAATAAATTTAATAGTAACGTTAATTATTAACAACATTTAATTATTTTACTTTTACAGTCTGTATTTATATAGTATAATTTAATTATCATTAGTATATTTACTATTACAAATTATTACATTTTAAATAATATTTATTTAAATTAACAAATTATTAAATTTACTATTATTTTGAATACAATTTAAACCAAACCCACCATAAGAACACTTCAATTACTCTTTGTGATTATATTTAATTCTTAAAATGAATAATTATCAAATGTGACTATTATGGGGTTTATTTAATATAATTAATTAAAAACCATAAATGTATTAAACAGTATAATTTATGTTCTGTTCAATTATTTTGTAGAAAATTGAAAAAAACACAGAAGTAAAACATATTTTTTAATAAAACCTTTGTTTATTCGTTGGTTTTTTGTTGTAAACTCCTTGATGTTCCAGTTTTATTCTGTCGATATCTGTATAAAGATTGGCTCTACCTTAGCCTCAGCTTTCTTTTGTTTCTGTGTGTATTCATCCTTTGATGCCGATTGGTTATTGTCGAGCCAGTCGAGTGTCTCCTTGATAATTGTTTCAATTGCCGCCTTGTCTTCTGGTGAGAGCTTTGCTGCAATTTGCTCGGTGTGTGTGTTTTTCATTGAGTAACAGAAGTTCTCAAGTCCATTCTTCGCCTCGGCAATTTTCTTCATCTTGTCTTCCTCCGCCTTGTGCTTCTCTGCGTCTGCAACCATCTTGTCGATCTGCTCCTTTGAGAGTCTTCCCTTGTCGTTGGTGATCTTGTTCTTCTTTCCTGTTGTCTTGTCTTCAGCTGAGACATTTAATATCCCATTTGTATTTGTGTCAAATATGACTTCTACTTGTGGGACACCACGTGGTGCGGGTGGAATGCCAGACAACCCAAACTTTCCAAGCAGGTTGCAGTGTGATGTCATGGATGCCTCACTTTCAAACACTTGGATCAGCACGCCTGGCTGGTTGTCTGCATATGTCGAGAATATTTGTAACTTCTTTGCTGTAATCGTCGAGTTTCGTGGGATAAGTATCGTCATCACACCACCAACTGTTTTAATGCCAAGTGTTAATGGCGCAACGTCAAGCAGCAACACGTCTTCCGTTTCTTTCCGCCATTTACAGCCAAAATAACAGCCCCGAACTTCAACTGATTTATTGGAGATTTGATATGTTTAATTCATTTATAAAACTCCTGTTTTTTAGCCAAAAACTTTAAAGTTTAAAATTAAAGAAGGAAAATAGAAAAAATAAAAAAGATGTGTCTTTTGAAATGACACATCTTTTTTATTTGTGCATTTAGAGGCTTAAATACAAATGTTTGAATATTGAATTTGCTTATAAAATTTATGTTGAATATGTCCTTAAATTTCACCACTTCTCGATCACACAGTCCGAAGTTATGATAATTATATTTTTCAAAAAATAAAAAGATGTGTCTTCGAAAAATACACATCTTTCGAATTTTATCATTTATTCATAAAAAAACAAAAAAATCTTTCATTTTAAAATGATGTTTGGTCAAAAAACAGTTTGATGCATTATTTGTTTGGACTTTTCTTTAAAAAAATATGACTCTGAATTTTCAAAAAGATGGTTCGACACTAAAATTTGCTTTTTTATTGGTCAATTACAATACTATTCGTTTTTGAATTTTCAAACCAAGAATTTTAATCTTTTTACAAATTATTTTGTCTCTTTTTCATTTTTTTCTTATAAAAATAATGCCACGTGGTTCGTGCAAGTATTTCGCAGGTCTTTAATGGTTTTAAACATTTAAATAATTTTATAAATGACACATTTTTCATTATTTCACCAACACAAAAAAAATAAAATTGAAAATTACTTCGACATAATTATCATTTTAATTGTTTAATTGAATTATCATGTAATTCAACAAATTTAATTATTTTACTCCAATTGATCGTTTTTATAATTAATAGAACGTGAAAAATATTCATGGTGCCCATCAGCGATTTGCATGAATTATGCAAACATTACCATAATTAATCAACACACAACGAATCACTTAGATAAAATTAACTCTTTGAATTGGTGTTAAATTGTCATTTGAAAAAACAGTGAACTGGACATAACAATACTTGCCACAATCGAAACATTTGAAATTTACAACAGCATTATCGTTTATTTCGAAAATATAAAGTAATTTTTCATTGCAAAAAAATAAAATATAAGTTGGTAAAAAGTTTATTATTTTAGTTTGGTTCAAATTAAAGCACAAAATGATAAACAATATTTTAATTTTAATTATTAAAATAGTAAAAACAATCATAGATAATAGTAAAATCAATTGATAATCTTATATATAAAGAATCGTTAGATTAATTACTCTATTGTAAAAAACAAATATCAATAAAAAATAAACAAAAAACTATAATTAACAATGCTTTTAGAAGTAATTAAAACAAATGAAGATTGGATTACAAAAAGACTGTTGATTCCTTTGGGAAAAAGGAATTTTTGGTGCCTAGTATGTAACGAAAAGATTTCTCATAATGAAGCGACACGCAACAATAACTGTCAAATAGACATGAGACAAAATTCGTGAGATTGTGGCGAGAGCTTACTTACTCAATCTTAGAATAACAACCAAAAATAAATAACCTCAAATAATCGAAGAGGATAAGAGTATCATCAAAGATGATGCTATTAAATTCCGAGAGTACACGGTCACTAAAATGAGCATAGCACATATAAGTCACACAAAAATTACAACAATTCTTGACATTTGTGATACTTATTTTAAACTCGCAAGAAAGTGGGGGCGACGTTTAGATCCCATCTTCACATGACTTACAATACATTAAATTTGATTAGGAATTGTATTAATACCAAAGTGAAGACAATGGTTAGTGAAGCCGCTAAAGAATCTCTTGGAGTTGGAATACAAATAGACGAGACTAAAATTAATGGAAGGAAGGAGTATGTATTGATTTTAAGATGTGTTAATGAAAATTTAGATATTCAAGAATATATTGTTGAACTGTTCGAAATCGAAAAAGCTTCAAGTGCAGATAATATTTTTTAATTATGTTGTTGACATCATTAAAAGGTTCGAGATAGATTAAAAAAAATATTCAGTTGTACTTGTGATGGTGCGGCAAATTGCATGGCAAACGAAAATGGCTTCACTACCAAGTTAAAAAAGAAAATTGAAGAAGGGGGGATAGTCTGTTTTTGCATACATTGTGCGTGCCACAGGCTTTCCCTTATAACAGAAAAATTTTGTAAATTGGGAAGATATTTAAAAAATATTTAATACATGAAAACATATAAGCGGTAAGTGTCACAGAGATAATGGGTTTTCTAATTTCCTTTATTTGAAACAATGTCCTATCAAAAAATATTGTGACACTCGATGGAATTAAATTTTTAATGTTTTAACTTCGCTTTGGAATGTTCGACTTCAACTGGTAAATTATCTTACAACACTAGATCAAAAAGTCAATTTCTATAATCAAACAAGCGTTAAGATGTGCATCGAGATACTATTATTCGAGAAAACCAAATTTGTAATGTGTTTTTTTGATTGATATTCTTGAGCCTTTTAACGTCATTATAAAACAACTCCAGACAAAAGAAACGTTCTTCCCAGAGAGTGGAAAAAAGTTGAAACTATTGTGGCCAAATTTCAAATGTTTTCGGCTGCAGTTGATTTGAGGGATATTTCACCGTTTAAATTGATGAACGAAACAGAGAATGTGTTGATATTTCCGTATAGAAACTCTTCGCATGGGCACTTGAAGTTGTCAACTCGAACTTCAAGTTTCGTTTTTCTTCGATTGCAACTTCCGAGCAATCAAGAACTGTTACTACATTTCAAGAGTTGTACAATGTGTGTGGAACTGACGTTGGGAAAAAACAACGAGAAATCGACCCAATAGAAGATGACGTGTTTGTATGGAACAACTTTGAAGACATTCTTAAAGGACGAATTGAAATTCCATTGAGTCGTATGTATCTCAAAGAAGAAATCCGGCGTTTGAGTCGTAAATGTTTCGAAAATGACATCATTGAAGAGTTGAAAAGCAAAAATAAACGAGATTGGGTTGATTTGTATGATTTTAGAGATCTCCTGATTGAATACCCCTTTTTAAAGGGCTTCTAGTTATAGTTATGACAATAAAATTTCTTCGGTTAGGTTTGAGTCACAATTTGGCGTTCTCAATAAACACAAACAACCGAAAATGAAACAAACTACTCTGGAAGCCACTGTGTTGATTCCTTTCAGTGGATGTTTGCTTTAATTAAAAGTACTTGTTAATTTTAATTTTTAAAATCTGGGTGTATTAGTTAATGTATAACATATAAAGTTAAATGATAATAATTAGACAGTAATATACTTGTTTATATTAAAAAATAAAATATTTTTATTTTTGTTTCAATTAATGTTTTTTATCTTACTGAGTCTATTTTGCCACAATAGAAAAACATGTATTATTATGTTGAACTGCTTCATTTTTGCTTTTGAAATTATTTTTTGTTGTTAAATTTAATAACATCTGAATTATTTATTTTTTTTATTTTGTTATTACATTTTTTTCTTCCAAAATAAAATTGCCATAAAATAAAAAATTAAGCAATAAACAAAAGAATGTTTTATCAATTACTATAATTTACAATTTGCTTTTTGATTTTATAAAACACTACACCACCAATATTTTTTTAAAATGATTACCATTATTTTTTTCATTGTCAAAAACGAAGGTTTTTTGAGACATATGATAAAACCCCCTATTTACAAGCCTTATTAATCCTTTTTATTATAATAAATATTAAAGAGATTCATGGGGATTGTTAATTAATCCAAGGATGGTTAATATCTAACACATAATTTTTTTCAATTTGGAATTTTTTGCCTAAGATCAAAAGAGAATATTTTGAAACACTTGATTTTATTCAAAAATGCTATTTATGGATTTTTTGAAAGATTATAGCTATATTATAAACTGTATGTCAAAACTTGGTACCAATTAAAAAAATAAAGGAAACCCTTTCCCCCTAATTTCTTATTCTTTTATTTTTGAATTTATTATAAAAACTTTCCGTTTGGAAAAAACAAATAAACGGTACCGATTTAAACCCAAAATCAATACAATTACTTGTATTATTTAATTTTTCGGGGTTCTTCCTAACATTAAAAAAAACTTTCTCAAAAAAAGGTCAGTTATTTTATTGACTAATTTTGAATAAACACAAACGAATTTTTGTTAGTTTAAAGTTTAATCATGCATGTTTACAATTTGTTAATTATCGCGCCGACGTTTTATCAACGAAAAATAGTTCATATATCATTGCTTTAAATAAACAAAAGAGTGAGATATTTATGTTTAATCATTTTTGTTTAAATTCAGAATAAAATCGTTTTTATTAAAAAAAGTCATTTTTATTTACATAAATAAATTTTATTTTTAAAATTCATGTTTTTGTTAGTTAAATACAAATATTGACATATTTATTGTATGTTCTTTATCATTTCCATTCAAAAGCTCAAAATATCTTCAAATACCAATTTTAAATAATCATAACATGATTCCTTCTGGCACACAACCTTCTTATATTATTTGGCATCAGCCTATTATTAACCAAACACAACAACCGTTCATCAATGATAACACAAATGGTAGACTAATAGAAGAAGTTGTTTTAACAGTGAACAATGAAAAAAAGATACAAACGTTTTAATCAAAAAAGATGAAACAACAACAAATAATAATATTGTAACAACTATAATAAGTACTAAAGGGACACCTCTTCCAGTAGTTGATGGATTTTTGTTTTACAAAGATGGAGCATCCAAAAATACTTACAAATGTTCAAGTAGTAAAACTGGTTGCAAAGTTAAAATTAAAATTACTAAATTTAAAAAAGAAAGTGCTTTGCTGGAATTCGAAGAAGCTATTTTTGTTAACAAAAGTGAGCACAACCATGCAATATCTGAACAGTTGGACAAAATTAACTTGGTTCACGACATAGAAAGACGTGTCCAAAATCATAATCATTTGTTGCAAAGATCTGCTGCAATGCAGGGATTTGATTATGGTAAGTATAAAGGAAGAATGTCTTCAGCGAACAAATTGTTCACGAAAAAAGCAAAAGAAAGTAGACCAACAAATGGATATCTTGTACAGCACGAAATCTATTTCAAGTATTTGCTTTACAAAGATGATATTATGTCAATATTTGTCAATAAAGAAAAAATGCTTAATCTTAATACAATTAACACCTTTCTTATGGATGGAACTTTCAGAGCCGCTCCAACTCCTTATTACCAATCTTATACAATACATGGTTTGATTAGTCAGGGGCAATGTTTTCGTTTATTTCATTGTTTGTTGATGAACAAATTACAATCTACATATGAAAAAATGATAGAAGTCATTATAAATTTTGGAAATGAATTTGGTATTAAATTATTTGATAAAGACACGATAACGATGGTAGATTTCGAAATTGCAATAGTAAACGTTTTAAAAAATAAAACACAAACAACTGTCAAAGGATGCCTTTTTCATTACGGACAATTAATTTGGCGGTTTTGTACAACACATGGTATGAAATCAAAATTAGAACACGACGCGGTGTTTTGTGAACAAGTCAGAAAACTCAAATCAATTGCATTTTGTCGTAGTAATGAAATTGTACAACAATTTAATAAAATGAAAGCTGCAACAATCTTGATCAATGATGATGATCTGAATATATTATATAATTATTTTGAAAAGGTGTGGATAAATGGTATATACCCACCTCAAATGTGGTGTCAGTTTTCTCAGTCAACAAGAACCAACAACTTTACTGAAAGTTATCACAATGCGTTTTCAAGAGAATTGGAAGAAAGAAGCCAACACAGTGGCAATGGTTAGAAACAGTAAAAATAAACGAAGAAGAAGAATTTGAACGACTTAATAAATTAAAAACCTTTGGACATATTAACAGAACGGGAAAAACTTATTCAAAAGAAAACACCCAAATTAATAATTTGACCAATGTGTACCTTGATGGGTTAATTGATAGTGACAAGTTTTTAGATGGTATTTTTAAAGTCTTGTGTTCTTTAGGATCAGAAAAACTGTATGAAGAAGTACCAACAGATGATTTTTTGAATGATAGCAGTGATCATTCAAGTTCATTAAGTGAAATCGAATCTTCAAAAATTCATAAACCAAAAGATGAGAAAGACTTAGAAATTGTTGAAGAGTTGGATAGAGATACGTGTGATATTTAACAACAACAAATCAAAAAATAAAAACACCAAAAGAAAAAATTGAAAAAGAATATTTAATTTTAGCAGAAGAAACCCAAAACGATGAAGAAATGCTAATAACACCACGTGAAAAATACCAAAGAGCTCAGATTGAACAAGAAACAAAGAAACCAATAACCATGGAATCTAAAATTGTAAAAAACAAAAAAAATAAAAAGAAAGTACAAGAAAAGACATTCTTTAAGCAGTTTATTGAATAGAATTAACAAAAAAAGAAAAAGAACAGATTTGGATTGATTAATTATTATTTTATTTCATTTTTATAATGTTAAATTTGTAATAAAACTTACAAATTAAAATAAACAATAAAAAAAACTTTTCATTCTATAAAACAATATATTGATTTTTATTTTTGGTGTTTTTTCATACATTAAACAAAAATGATATTTTTAAATAAAAACGACTTTATTCTGATTTTAAACAAAAATGATTAAACATAAATATATCTTCCGAACAATAACACAAGCACCAACCATTTTAGGTAAATAATGGCTAATTGTAAATTTAAACAAGCGAATTCAAAAAACAACAAACATAACCAACATAACACTAAGAAATAATAAAACGAGTTCAAAAAACAAAAAAGTAAAAAGTTTTAATTAAAGTAACAAAGAAAATTCTCTTTTGTTTTCTGCGCACAACTCAAATAATTTTGGGAATAGAAATAATGTTAATGGTTTCCAAACTGATAGATTCCCAGGCTCTTTTTAAAGCTTCTTTGAGTTCTTCAATATTATTGAGTTATCTTGTGAAAAAAGAAAACAGCCTTTTCTTTTCTCATTAGTCCGTCCAAGTAGTGCCACAAATGTTTTATTGGACTTAAATATGGGCTGTTTGCTGACCATTTTTCTAACAACTTAACCATAAGTGTTTTGTCAAGTTATTTGAACCAGGCAATTGTTTTTTGCGGTATGTGGTCTCACACCATCTTGTTGAACCACCATACCACGTTTGAAAACCTTTTTTGCATCTTTAAACACCTTTGATTCTGTGAGTATTTTTTGATAGTTTGTGGCATTTAACGTGCCATTTACAAAAACCAACTTGGACTTAAAATTTCGTCCAATAGCAGCCAAAACCATTACTCCTCTGTTATATTTTGGAGTATGAACAAACGACTATTCGTCATATTCACCACGTCTTTTCTGAACATATACGCCATCAGAATACAAACAAAAACGGCTTTCATCAGAAAATATTGTATTTTTTGTCCACTTGATCAACCATCTGGTATTGTTTAAATGATGTTTGACAAAAGAAAGACAGTTTATAACGTGTTGTGTTGTCATTGCAAGTTTTTTAATTTGTTTTTCAAAACAAATTTGTTATCTTTTCGTATAAGATAAACACTGCTTGGAGAACTTCTGACATCATCTGAAACACAAGAAGAACGTGGATAATTTATAATTTTGTTGTCACAACAACTTCAACATTTGTGCTATTTTTGGGTCTCCCTATAATTGCAGGTTTTGTATCTTGTTGTCTTTTTATTTGTGAAATTCTCGTTTTTGATACTCCGCATAATTTGTTATCTGACTGTATGACAAATTGTTTTCTAAATCCCATTTAACTCTTAAGTCTTAATTAACCTGTTTTATTTAATTTAGTAAGTGTGAAGACTTTTATAAATTTGAACCAAAGGCAAATTATATTAAATTGTTTTTATTTTGATAATTAAAAATTTTTTGTTTACAATCCATAAATGGTATCAATTTCAAAAGGCAAAAATAAAATGATATTGATTTAATTAAATTGGTATATACATTAACTTAAATAATAAAACAATTATTTATTTGGTAATACATATTTTATTATAAAAAGTGTTGATAATTCGAAAAATA